ACACACATTGCACAGCTAGCTCAGTGTTTTGGAAACTCTGAAGGGAGAAAAGATGTATTAGAATGGATACCAACGTGAAAGTCTACAGAGCCATTGTGCTGACCTCATTTTTTGTATGCCTGTGAAACCAGGACAGTATTCCAGCACCATATCAGGAAACTGAATTGCTTCCATTTGAATTGTCTTAGGAAGATTCTGAAGATCACCTCGCAAGCCAGGATACCGGACACTGAAGTCCTTTTTTAAGCTAAACTGCCAAGCATTCAAAATCTATATCAGACAGAGCAACTTTGATGGGCAGGCCTCATTGTTTGAAAGTCAAACATATCACATAAAAGACTACATTATGAAGAACTCACATAAGGAAGACTCTTCCATATCAGTCAGACAAAGAGATACAAAGACACTCTCAAAATCTCTCTGAAGTACTTTGGAATAGATTGCTTGATAATGGGAGCTGGTGGCAAAGGAGAACCCAACATGGCATGTTTGCATCAAAGAAGGTGCTGTGCTGTATGAACAAAGCAGAATTGCAGCAGCTCAAAAGAAATGTGACATGTACAAATTTAGAGAATCCACCCCAAATGTTTACATGGACTATTCTTCCCAACCTGTGGTAGAGCATTTCAAGCTCCTGTGGGTCTGATCAGCCACTGTCAGACACACTGGAAGTTGACTCTAACACAGTTACGTCATTTTGGTTCTCTTTGTGAATGAAGGACAACAATTGAGTCCTTTCCAGCTGGACATCAAGCTCCTGGGAAAACCATTGCTTGTAGAGGAAAGACAGGGAGTTTGTTTTGTTCCAACCCATACGTAAAGAGTAATTTTGGAGATATTATGAGTCACTGTCTGACTGTAGCATCTGCTTAACACAACTGAGATGAGTGATGGTCCTGGCCTAGGGGAGAGAGATTTAGGAGCCAGGAACAAAATCTCATAAACTCTACACTCAGAGTGACATCTCAGATTTTCTATTTGGGCAGCATTCTTTTATGGCCGGCTCTGGTTTAAATGACAGTGATAGTGAATATCATTGCACCTCCAGGGACATTTGCATCTCACGTCTATGAGGCTTTGCCCTTTCTGAGTACAGAGGGCATTTATGGATCCCACTCATGGCATTTGGTGTGTTGGGATGATAAGAAATTGATGGCAATGAGAATAAAATCCACGTGTGTTGACTCCTACACACTTCCAAATTCAGCAAGAAATTTAAAACCCTGAACTTGATACTACAAGTCATTAGACAGTAGGCAACTTTTCCTTGCCCTTAAAGGGGTTTAATGAGAGCACATAAATCCTACTCCCTGGCTGGCTAACACTGAAGAATAATAACTCCTTCCTTTCTCATAAGACTGTAAACGCCAAGCACCCAGCATATATGTTTTTGGTTTTCTACTTGGGCAGAATCTCAGCATCAGGATCTCCTGACAACTGCTTTGACCCTGGCATACTCCCCAGATACAGCCAGAGTTGGGTTCAGATCATGAATGATTGAGATGCCATTAGCTAGGTCACTGAAGTCAGTACAATGTCATTACTACTTGTCATGGAAGAAGCATATTTATAAAAAAAATTATCAGGGTTTTAGCCATAGTCCTGTCACAGAAAACACAAAGTACCGGTTTCTCTTTCCTTCCATCATCTAATCATTCAATGAATTACTACTCATTCTTTGGTAACTATTATATGACTGAGCTTATGTTGGACTGCAGGCATACTAACACTAAAGAAAGGAGGAAGGTAGAAATGAATTTTGCTACTTGTTCTTTCAGACTAAAGGATGAAGGGCAGAAATGTGTGTGTGTGTGGGTGTGTGCTTGTGTGTGGGTGTCCACATATCTGTGCAGAGGGGATAACTACTAGTCTATTAGAGACTTCAGAATTAGAAAGGGGACTACCAAATGAATTCCAGAGCATTAGCCTCTGTCAGCTTTGCATTGGCTACAAATTTAATAATCATTCAATATGCCATTTTCAAATATATGAATAGAAAAAGAAGTTTAACAAGTAAACATAAATACCTGGATACTTCAAAAGTGAATTGTTGCATTGATGTGGAACTATATACAATTTATCTTTGAATCCAATCATCTGAGCAATTATACGACTTTATATTTGTATTATTGTTTAGTCTACTTCTCTCCATCTTCTCCTCAAGAATACTTGGTTTCAGTATATGAAATTCTTCCCTAAATCTTGGTAAACTGAGTCTTCAGTATTCCCCTCATCTACTGGTTTGGTAATCCTTGCCAATTGGAAATAAGCTTGGTCTGGTATGAGAAGATCTTCATAGTTCCATGCTGTTCTTGTATATTCATTACATATATTTGTAAATATTAACCTATTATCCATTAATGTTCTTTTCCTAGAATTTGTCTAAGAAGTCAAATCAATCTCACTAGTATGTATGGGGAATTCATTTTTCCTCATTTTTGAAATTTGTGGTAGCTTTTTTTCTTCCCCAATCTTAGCACCTCCCTCCCATGTTCCTACATTTTCAAACGTCATTCACAATACCTCAACAACCAGGCTACTCAGTTCAAACACATCTTTCAGTGCCTGAGAATGTAATTGGTCTTGCCCAGGTCATATGAATTCAGCATGATCAACTACATACTATTTTATTAAACATTGTTACTTATATTGAGAATCAGCTGTCTATTGGTAATTTTTTTTGTCATTTTTTAATGAAAAGGTCAATCCATGTGACAGGAAAAAAATAAGGAAAGTAAAACTAGAGCAACTAGGTGTTCTCAGGATATGAGCTATCATTTTACATTCCAAAAGGCAAAGATCTTTTTTATTTTTTATTAATTTACTTTAAAATTAAATACTAAAACAGATACAAAATCAGAAAATAAAAAGTAACATATTATAAACTTAAATATTAAAATTTAAATAAAAATAGCAAAAGAAAAAGCAGCATTGACATGTGCATAGCAGAAGAGAAGAGAGATTAAAAATGTACAGCAAAAAATTTCTATTTCAAGATAGACTATGTAATAAATACAACACATTGTGTTCATACATACACAATACACTTACACACTCATACATATGCTTAGATATTTATAATCATAGTCATATATTCATATGCATATATTTTTAAATTTACTTTATGCACCATTTTTCACAACATAATTTAAAAGATCTTTTTGTTGTCTTTATAGTCACTTACTAGCCTTTGTTCAATTTGAGGTTTGTTCTTCCTGAGAATATTTTTACAGAATAGAATAACACTCAAATATTCATGCTGTTATCATACCTTGTTTCCATCATCAGAACATTTATTTTATACTTTTTTTGTAGATTTCTATGTGGATATACATGGTTAAATTTGGATCCATTTCATTTTTTTCCTTATAATTGAAAATAACTCTCTTTACAACTTTACAATATGATTTTTCCTGGGAATTTCCCATCTTATGTGGAATTATTCCATCTTCACCATTTATATTTTCTTGGTAATGTGTTCTCACAAATAACTAGGATATATGTCAAACTTTCTGGATTTCTTAGTGTCCATTGCTGTTTAGGAGAGAATGTCATTTAATCTCATTTCTATCATATCAATGTCAAGTACCAACTCCTTCTTGCTCCTTAAGGAATCCAATTTAGAAAACAACCTACCTTTGATTTTTATCTTCATCATTTGGAAAACAAAATAGCCCAAGGAAATCATGAAGTTCTTATTTGTTCTGCTTTTGGGAGAGAGTTCCAAACATATCTGGTTAATTGAATTATTCCATTACAAGTTCATCATGCCATCATGTGAGGCTTGTGAACTGTTTCTCCTAATCCTCATCTCTTACTGTGCTTTCTTACCTGTTCATCATGACTTTCTTCTCCAGGAAATTTATTGTTTGGAAATCTCATTATCTTGAAAGATTAAATATGCCAAGTATTCACATCCTATCTGAACCCTTTGCTCCTCTGATTCTCTCATCTGATTTTGGGCAGGGCTATGGGATTCAGATCCTCTTTTTAAGAAAGGCACTCTTTCTAGACTTCCCCCCATTTCCAAGTACTATACTCCCTTTGGGCTTCTGAAGACTTTCTAGTCATGCATTCTTTCCCTGGGAAACTCATTTTTGTGAATTCTCCTTATCTTTCAAAAATTTGTCTTCTATGAAATCCTAGGTGTCTAAATTTTCATTATTCTTGGTAGTTTCTCTTTCTGATGTATACCTTAGAGGATATACATACACAGTCTTCTTTTTTTTTAGTTTAAAGCACCTTTGATTAGATTTCTAAGACACTTAGCAAATATTACTGTCTTTTAATTTGAGTATATTTATTTGCATCATTTTTGGGGCCACTTCTATCCTGGTTTGGTTCTTAGTTTCCCATGGAACTATACTTGATTAGTTCTCTTTTAGTAGTTCATTTTATGAAAAATCCATTAACACCATAATACATTCAGATGAGTATTTCATAAACCTATTGACCTCTCTGTTAATAAACAATAAGAGGTATACCAGAAAGTTGAAAATAATTATCCTATTTAATCTATGGTGAGTTTCTGGTAAGCGAATTAATTCAGGAGGTTGAATTACCAGGATCACAAGAAGACCTATATCTAATTACAAAGGGTCATGGGAAACCAGCACAGGTGTTCTCTGACATGGCATGTTGGGGATAAGACTTCAAAGAGAGAAGTCAAAAGAAGTTACCAAAAAAAAAAGGAATTAGCATCAGGGAATCCCAAGAAAGTTCCCACAACCCCAGCCTAGAAGAGTCAATATTTTTAAGATTCATTGAGTTGCTTTGGGGTGTTTCATGGAACTGCCAAATGTGGAAAGGAGGATAGAGTTGAGAAAGCAACCATTTCTTCATGATTCATTGATCTTGCACCTCAGTTTCAGGAATCTGTTGATGATTGCCTTAGATGTTCTTTCATGTTCCACTGAGCTGAAACATTTTGAGTTTCTATGCCTCTAAAGGTCTTCTACGTGTATTACAAGGTAAGGGAGATACTGTAACCTTTCCATCTATCAATGAGCACAGGTCCTGGGAATCTGGTTGTCAGTGCTGATAAGAACAAAAGCACTGATTACTGAATACCACAGAGACAGAAAGGCTGAGGTATGTATCACCCAAGTGTTTGTGTATTTAAAATAGAACATATACAAAATAAAAATAGGACTGAATACGTGAAACAGAACATAGATGCTCACAAGAAGCAAGATAACCTGGGTGGCTCTGGTTTCAGGGGATATTTTTGTGGAGAAGCTATTACTATGAATATGATTGACAAGCTTCTTATGTCTATATAGGATTGAGACCATATGGACACTAGAAAACATCATGAGACCCACAAAGAAAGCATCATAAACACATACTATGATTGAAAGTTTAACATGGTTCTTATTATTCAAATCTAGAGATCTATACCCAGTGTTACAACCGTATTTACTATCTGTTCTGTTCTTTGGACCATCATGGTATTGAAGTAGAATCACACAGAATAGTAGATTGAAAATCCAGCTAAGAACAAAGCTTGGGATGATGTACTTTGGTGCTCTCATTTTGAGCTGTGCCCATATGGAGTTGTTGGGACTAATGGTGATGTCCTGGAAGACACAGAATAGGCAGGTGCTACTCAAGGAGAGGTTCCAAGTTAATCTCTGCATGTACATTATGATTGTGATCCCAGTCTTGTCCAGGAGACATTTCACCCTCCAAAGCCTTGTCGTAGTAGCTATTCCCATAAAGAGAAGTGTCATGGCATTGGAAAAGACCAAATGAATGACAATTAGGTTTTTAGATCTTGTTCTTTGAGCAATGAGGAAATTAATGGCATGTAGGTAGAGGAGGATACAATTCCCTAGGAATCCAACTACAGTTAGTAGCAGGTATATTATCCCCAGAATTTCATCAAAAGTTAGCATTTTTTAGCTTTCTTGTGAAGATAATTTGTTGTCAAATTCGATGCAACCTATGGAAAAACACATGACATTATGCTTGTTGCAGGCTTAGGTTTTCCCATTGTAATTCCATGACCTTCTGCTCACCTATATGAGGAGAAATAAAGTTTCTCAGATAGTGGGAAGTGACTTACTATCAAACCCCAAAATTCACTTTTTAGCTGAAAATCTTTTATCAATCCATCTTTCCATAGGTCTGAAGACCTCCAGGCAGCAAGCTAGTACAATGGACAGGGTATTGGCTTTAGTGTCAGGAAGACCCATGTTCCAAAGTAGCCTCAGACACTAACTAGCTCTGTGATCCTGGGTTTCTCAGTGAATCATGTTTTCCTCAGTTTTCCTCATTTATAAAATGAGCATGAGAAGGAAATGGTAAACCACTCAAATATCTTTGCCCAGAAAACCCCAAGTGGGTTCACAAAAATTTGACAATGACTAATAGCAAAACAAAAACAAGGAGACCTCTGAGTCTACTCATCCTCATAGTGACCTTCAATTCTACCACCTTCCTTTTGTTTATCTGCCCTTCATCGTTGCAGCAACTAAACTCTTTCTTCTTTTTAATCTTAGATGGCAATACCCTTATTCAATTAATTAAACTTTACTTTATCATCTAATTTATATCCTTTGCTCATTTGTCCCTCAATGACTCCTACAATCTCCATTTGTTTCTTTTCTTCATGTGTCTCTTAAGAGCTATATATGAAACCAGAAAACTTTCCTGAATAAATTCATTACAAAATTGTGTCATTTAAATCCACTTGGAATTGACATCTCACCAAGTCAACTTTCTACTCCTCTCTACCCTAGCTAGTATTTCATTCTCTCTAGCTACTCTAAGTAAACATTGCTTCTCTTCTCATGGGTCCCATAACAACAGATCAATTTACCTTCTCAGGTAAGAACCTTGCTTCATACTTCACTGACTGAATAATTGAGGTCACTCATGGAGTGTTCCCATTTCTCCCTTTCTGCTTATTTCATATCATTCTGATGTTTTCCCACATTTTCTCTTTTTCTGTTACTCTCTCTTTCTGTCTTTCTCTGTCTCTCTCCTCTGTCCTCTTTCTTGATTCTTGTTTTTATACTTTTCTAGCAAAAAGAGAAAATCTTTACAGGTGTTATATCATGAAATTCTGTTGTCTAAAGTGTAGAGAGAAATGATACATGTATAAAAGAATAAGAAATCTTCTCTGATAGGTAAGTCATCAAAGCATGTATGTTCAGGACACATTCAAAAGACTTTAAAGTTCTCAACAACCATAACAAAGAATATTATAAGAAACATATCATCAGTCACCAATAAGGATCATTAATAGTAAGGAAATGCCTTTCTAACTTACTCTGAGATTTGATTTCACCATATTCTGATTGACAATGTTTATAAAACTTCAAGATGGTAAATGTTAGAGTGTTTTGGGGAAGATCAGCACACTAATGTGCTGTAGATAAAGTTACCAAATTGCCCCAATTATCCTGTAAAACTAGTTCTAATTATACTAAAAATGTACCTATCTTTGTATCTAATGGTACAACAAATAGACCATATGAAAGGAGAAAAAAGAGTTAAATATACCACAAATGACTGCTAGATCAATATCCCAATGAATATAAGAAAGTTGCAAAGGTCCTTTATGTACAAAGGTATTCATAGCAACTGTTTTTTTTTAAGCTGACCTATTACTCCCACCTCCAAAGCCTTGATGGAGTAGGGATTCTACTGAAATGATGCATAGTGGCATTGGAAAAGGCCAAATTGATGATGATTAAGTTTATTTGTCTTGGTCCTGTGCCAGACATGAAATGAGGGCTGTATAGGAAAAGAAGATACAATTCATAGGATTCCAACTCCAGTCACTTGATAGTACAATATCTCCACCATTTCATTCTTAGAAATCATTCCTTCATTGTCTTGGGAAGATAATTTGCTGTCAAATTCAATATGACCTATGGAGAAATATAGAGCATTATATTCTTATTTACTTAAGGATTCCAATTGTGGGGACCAATAATGTGTCTATAAGTGAGAGAGTATGCCTCTATCACAGTAGGCATATTCTAGTGTTGGGATTGTATTTTGCATCTGCTACATTTTTCTTTAAATTCGTATGATAAAATGATTGTGTGTTCCTTGATTAAACTTGACTCAATGACACTTTCACTGCCACCAGGGACCATTCTCTCAATTGATAACTGAAAATACTTCCAACCACATATATTGGGGCCAAGGTAATGGAAATGATTTTTACTGAAACATATCATATTTTTTTCTATTTCATGACAGTGAGGTCTGATCTTTACCAAGGGATTCCTTGCTTTGGTGAAGTCCCCTAACTAGTTCCTTTTTTAAAATATATATTCTCATATTATCAAAACCCAACAGCATGGCTACATTAGAAACACAATCAGTAGGAATCATAGTACTGCAGTTTGGTAGGGAAGAAGGACTTCTTGGTCCTTTATCAAGCTGTGTGGATTTTGGGACCAAAGGGCAAACTCAAATTCTTGGTACATAAAATTTTTTTCCTAAACATTTCCCCTTTCCTGTCATACAGGAAGATGAGTGGTTATGAAGGCAATTCTGCTAAGATCATGGACTCTCTGGAGATAGGCTTCCTTTCTTCCAATTCCTTTACATCCCTATTCTGACATTTATGCCAGACACCCACTGGCACTGCTTCTTCCTGGTTAGAAAATGCATCTCAGATAATAGGAAGCAATGTGACTTAATGTGTCCTAAAGAAAGAAATACAACTCCAGATGCATATATTGGAAGTAGATTCCCTTGAGGTCTGGAATCTCAAGCCATCACGTGTGGAGACTCTCTCCCGTGGCTGAGTAATAAACTGAGATAGCCAGCTGAGTAGTAAGACTAGTTACAAAGAGCTCTGTTGAAAATGATGGAACCTTTCTGAGAAACTTTGATGATCAGAACAAAGTGTTATGTCATCATTCTCACCCCATTCCAATGATTCAGAAGATTCTGATGTCATTTTTCCATCTCTGATCTCCATTTCTACTGCCTATATTCCTATCCACCTACTCATTCCCTACCCCTTCTACTGCCAATGCCTCACTCCAAGCTATTCACCTCTTCCATGGTGCTTTATGGAATGCTTAATCTTTAGGTAACAAAGATGTTTTTATCTTAACTCTTTTCCTTTCTTCCTCTTTCCATTTGTTAGTTCTCTTTGAGACCTGGTTCTCCTTTGATAACAGTTTTTCTGCATACCCTTTCCAATACTGTTTGCGCTTTCACTCATTCCCATTGACTCACTGGTTGTGATGAGGGTGTTGAAATACTCTTGAATTCACCATTGTTGTTTCTCAGCTCTCCCTCTTTCACCATCTCTCAGTAATTGCTGCTTATTTTCATTTCAGTTAATCCATATCTCTGACACAGTCACAATTCTGATAGTTGCTTTCTACACATCCAAGAACAGTTTACTTTTCTCAATTAGTTCATTGCTATTCAATCTTTCTCTCCTTCCCTACATTCTCTTCTTTTCCTTTCCCATCTCTACCCCTTTGATGAATCTATTCACCTCCATATTGTCCTCATCTCTAAAGTTCTGTACCCCTCTGTCTTATGACAAATCTTGCCCTGTAAAACCTCAGCCATCATTTACACTCTTCATCTTCTGCTTTTGATTCTACTCACAGTTAACTGAATGATATTGTTGAAAAGCATTGAACCATCTTGGCTACTACAAATCTATGAGGCACATTGCTGACTGAGTTCTTCTACATGTACAAGTGATGCTCAGATCCCATTTTCTCCAGAAAATTATTACTTTTAAAATCCCCACTCTCCTTTATCTTCAATTTATTCTTGTCTACTGGCATTTTATTCACACCTTACAAATGTATATCTTTCCCATTCTCATAAAACTCTAACTTGATCCATCCATTTGCCTAGCTATCTTACTATATCTCCTCATTATTTTGTGGCTAAACTTGAGAAAGCCACGTACAATCAGTACCCCATTTTGTTTTCACTTATTTTCTTAGCTTTCCACAGCCTGACTTCTGAGTTTATCATTCAACTAAAACTGCTCTCCCCAGAATTCCTTATGATCTCCCCATTGGCCATTCTTTTGACCTTTTCTCAGTCATCATTCTTCTGGTTTTATAGGTCTTTGGCCCTGTTGATTACTGTCTACTTGGTCATCTTTACTATCTAGATTTTCATGGTGCCATTCTTGCTTCTCCTTTTACCAATCTGACTGCTCCTTTCCAGTTTCCTTTGCTGAATCATAATCTATCATGTCTGGTTGATGTAGGTCTCCAGGTTCCTTTCCTGGATCATCATTTTTCTCCCTCTATCTTATTTTACTTGCTGAAATCATTAGTTTTCCATGGATTCAAGTATCATCTCTATACTAATTGTGAAATCAATTTATCTGGACTTATCCTCTCTTCCAACCTCCTTTCTTGCACCTACAATTGAATATTAGATTTATCAAAATGAATGTCCCATAGTTATCTGAATTCTATTTCTAAAATTAACTCATAATTTTTCTCTTCCAAACCCTTCCTTCTTTCAAAGTTCCTTATTACTGTTAAGGGTTGCAAAGTCTTCCTTGTCCCTCAAGCTTTAGACATGTGTCAGCTTTGACTTCACCCTTTCTCTGCCACCCATACTCCCATGTCCATTTTTTGTCAAATTCTGTCAATTTTACCATTGTATCATGTTTTGCATATGCTCTCTTCTCTCTTCTGACACTGCCACCACACTGGTGCAGGGAATGATCACTTCATGCCCAGAATGTTGTCATAAAATGCTAGTTAGTTTCCCTGACTTAAATGTCTCCTGACTCCAACCCATCCTCTACTCATCTGGCAAACTGATCTTCTTAAAGTGCTGGTCTAATCATGTCAACACTACTTTTATTTAAACTACAATTACTCCCTATTACATTCAGAATCAAATATCAAATGCACTGTTTGGATACAAAGCCCTT